GGACAGGTGCTGTCAAGGGTTCTAATACTTCTTTGGTTTTTATCGCAAGTCATGTCGAGGCATGCAAATGATATATTTTGGTTGAACCATTTTTCCTGCCATTGTGGTCGGCGTGTCGGCTATCGCTGTGAAATGCGCAACATATGAACAAAGTTCAACAAACAGGCTTGGAAGGGTGTTCGCTCCAACACCTTGAACCATGTCATGGAGACCTCTGACACTCCTGTGCTAGACTCCAGGTTAGGCAGTATGGTTTTATAGGTCTCAGTTAGGCCCGGTGTAAAAAGACGAGGACTTGTACGCGGGGCTGATTCGCCGGACACCCAACGAGGAACCGAAAGCTTTCTAGGGCAGAGGGAGAAGGCCACCAGCCCCTCGACGACAAACTTGAAGCTGTAGTGCATAACAAGTAACCCCAATCTTTGAGGGTTTTACTTGGAAATGTTATAGAGATTATATACATATTTGGGGGGGCCATGTTAAGATCCTGGCAGTTGAGTGGTCAGGCAGGGTGGCGTGCGGCGCCCTCGAATGGAGCCTTAATCCGGCGATTCAGAGTTTGGTTATCCACTTACAAATCATGCATTTATTTTAAGCATTGTAGTGTCTGGATGCCCGAAGCAAAGGGGACATCGCGGAATGGGGTCCACAATGTCTTTGTGTATCCCTTCTCTTCTCCTTGTCCCCATTTGATTATGCCTCCTCTTTCTTCTTTTCCTTTTTCCTTTTCCTTTTCCTTTTCGTTTTCGTTTTCCTTTTCCTTTTCCTTTTCCTCCTTCATCTTCCTCTTCTGCTCTTTAAACTTCTCGTCCCGCCACTGTTGAACCTCCTTGCCACTTTGCAATTCTATATTATGCATGTGATAGGTCCTGAAAAAGCTTAAGGGGAATATAATTCGCAAAAAGTGGTTCCCACAAGACAGAGAAGGCGAGAAAGGAGTAAATGGGATAGTGATCCATGGTGTCGGATCAATACAACAGCCGGTCAAGTCAACGACTTCTGTTCTACTTCTCTCCTACAACTATCTCGACTCCCTTCACTTATCATACTGTCGTTGACTTCCGTTTGACTTGTTTAATGGTGTTCTCCAGCAGGATGAGTCTTAAGAACTACGTTGTCCAATCGCCAACTTAATGACAACCAGCAAATTCCTCTGGAATTCTTTGGTGTCCCTGACAGGATGACGTGGCCAAGTAGTGTCTCCGCCCTCTCCCACCTAGGATTGTTGCTAACTCTGTGGTTTGCCTCGTTCGAACAGGGGTTTACAGTGGGTACACAAGCCCCCAGGTAGGCAGGCCACCCTTTTTGCTTTCTGCTGCACAAGATGGGATATGGTCCACCATGGGTACATAGGCCCCCAGGCAGGCAGGCAACCCTAGAACTAGGGGGGCCCTTTACTCCAACAGATATTACCACAAGTATGTATGCATTGATTTCCTGACCTAGGCATAATTGATAACAACAGAATTGACAAAGCAGCTTGCACCCACGGAAAGAACCGGCATTTCGAAGACAACAAAGAAACAACATACATGCAGAGTCGCATTGCAGACACAGGATAGGGTTCAAGAAGCACTTCACTCGAAGTGATACTGCTCCAGGGAGTTTCGTTGAGCCTGCGTTGTCCTTGTGTTGTCTTCTTCACTTCTGGCCGCTTCTCGTTCAACATTCACTTCTCCACGTCTGCGGATATCTTCCCCAAGCCGCCTTTCACTATCTGTTTTTTTCTCAAGCACCGGGCAACTCTCTTCAACCACCGAAGGCAACGAGAGGTCGTTCTCGTACCATTGCAGTGATCCCATGCAAGTGACACCCATCAAACAACCACACATGCTTGCCAAGACAACACACTGAAGTCGTACACCAAAAAATGAGATGGAAATCAGATGAAGCTTGAAAATTTATTATTGTTACAACTCCCGAATTGTCACAACATTTTCGGGTGGCAGGTATGGCTGCCGGCATCGCACACAGGTACTCTCTTTCTCTCTCTCTCTCTCGTCACTCTTTTTGAATGCCTTTGACTTCTCCCACTCATTCCCTGCTACGCATCGCTCTCCTCCTTGTCAGGCCTAGTCCAAGCTATGGCGCCTGCGCCGAAGACTACTGCCCAACACCCGAACAAGTCACACGTGAAATACCGCACAAGCAACCAGCAGCACTTCTGCAACAGTTCGTGTGAACGAGTGTGTTTCCAGCTAGTGTAGTGGCCTTTTGTATCTGCTGCTGTTGACAACCTTGGTTCCCGGTCCCTGGCCTGTCGACCATTATTATTTCCCAAAGTCTCCGCACTGTCTGTGGATGCCCTGGGACTTTTGTTTGGGACCGACCTCCCGGGTCCTACGATGGCGTTTCAGCCTGTTGGCTTGCTGGTTGGAATATGGTGCATGTGACATGGGACTGTGGGACATGAGACTTGGGACATCTGGGACCAGACTTGGGACTGGACTGGCACATGAAATCTTTTCAGTTCGCTGCAACACCCAATAATCAACAACTCTTTAAGGAGAAAACCTTGAAGCCTCCTTCCGTACCATCCTTCAACCCTGATGAGTCATGGCGTAGCATCTCTCTACCTACTGACTTCCTCTGCCCTAGAAGGGCTAGTCCTCTTTCCATGTCCTTACCCCAGTACCCCTACATGGGTGTCTCACAGCAGTCAAGGGAGTCCGAGTGCCACATCCTTCAGCCAACGTTTAGGCAGCCTAGTGCCATCCACCAATGTGTCTTTGACCGGAGTGGCTGGGCTTATATATCTGGCATTCAGCCAGTCAGGGTACTCTAGAGCTGGAAAGGTCATGTATCCCTCCCTAGTTTTGGCCCTACTGGGTGAATGGCCAAATCCTTCTCAGCAAGATGTTTGCCAGCATGTCCTGTCTGACTGTGGCATACTGCGTAGCCACACGGGCCTGCAGGGCCCGTCCAGCATTCTCAGCCTAGGCTTAAGGGCTTACAGGCCCCTGTCATTTCAGCCTGAAAGACTGAAAAACGAGGGCCTGCAGGCCCTATGTCGTTTCAGCCTAAAACAGGGCTTTTCAGCCCTGAGGCTTTTCAGCCTGAAACGGAGGGCCACTTTCGGGCCCTCATAAGATCGACCTACCCTAACACTCAGGCACAAAACCAGGGTTTCGGGAACAGGCTAAAGATAGCCTGTTCCTGTTCCCACGACAGCCTCAAGCAGGAGCTGCAGTGGCAGCCCCTGACTCCCTGCGGCATTGGCAAGAGCAGCCTCCTGGACTGCCTCGCCCTGCAGTCAGGAGGCAGGCCGTGTAGTACATAGGGAGTCCCATGCACTTCAAGGGTAGGTAGTTGGACAGTAGGCAGGAGTAGCCTTCAGGATTCGGCCGCAGCACTCAGGAGGAGCACTGCCAGGAGTAGCTTAGCGCTAGCAGTAGTCTTCAGCGCTGGGCGCTAGTAGCCATAGCAGTAGTCTTCAGCGCTGGGCGCTAGTAGCCATAGCAGTAGTCTTCAGCGCTGGGCGCTAGTAGGTGGTAGTAGTAGTGTGGGAGAGAGATGGCTGGCGGAGGCCAGCGAGACTTACCTGTGGCGCCATAGCTCCAGCTCCATCTTCGAGGTACCTGCATCAAGGCGTCAACTTCACAGGTTAGTACCGGACTGAGAGAGAGAGAGAGGGAGAGAGTTCTTCTTCTTCCTCTTATAAGTCCACCATCTCTTCTTCCCCTCTCACCACCTGCCTCCTCCGTACCAGCGGACTACTACAGAGAGAGAGAGTTGTGACTTGAGACTTGACGACATTGGGACTTGACGACATTGGATCCAGACTCGACATTGGGATTCAAACATTTTGACGAGGGACTATTTGGGCCTGTGCCGAAGACTTGGTGTTGACGACATTCCCATCTTCCCCTCTTCTTCGTCTAATCCCCCTCTTCTTCGTCTGTGTATGGTTGGGGCTGGCGCATTCTTCCTGTGTGAGCGCCAGACCCCTTCACACCATGGAATGATGATGATGATGATGTATGTTCGGAACTGCATTGCAATATTGATTGTTCGGATCATTGGTATCTAAGTTTTCCGCTACGCTATCTTGTACATTGTATCGAGAGGTCGGTTCTTGTTCTGGTCTGCACCGTTACAATATGCAACAGTTTGGTATCGGAGCGGAACTCATTCAGAGGACCCGCTCAATCAAGTAGCCAGCTTGCTTGATCTATTGATCACTCGTTAGTAAATCAAGTAGGACTTCGTCAAATCTCTGAATTTTTTTTTTCTCACAACAACTATCTGGAAATTTCTGATAATCGCATTTCGTTTTACCTGAAAATTTCTGATATTAGTATTTCCTTTTCACGCAACAAATATCTGAAAATTTCTGATAATCGCATTTCGTTTTATCTGAAAATTCCTGATAGTAGCATTTCGTTTCTCTGATATTTCGCATACATAGTCGAAAATTTTTGATGTTAACATTTCACTTTCTAGGCATATTAGGATAACGATAGAAGTGGTCGTATTCTCGGAAACCGGATTTATTCCTTCTGAAAATCGAATCTCCATTCTATCTCGCAAATTTTTTTGAAAACCGAAATCTTGCGAAGCCTACCAACATTTCGTTAGGCATATTCGGAGGTTGCCATATCCTCAGAAACTGGATTTAGGTCTTTTCTAAAAATCGCATCTCTATTTTATCTCGCAATTTTTTTTTTCTTTTCAAAATCGCATTTTGTGAAAGCCGAAACTTTGCGGAACCTAGCCTAGATCTCGTTCATAGTACTCTTCTGACATGTCTCACCCATAACAGATCGATATACATACAAAAAAAAAAAAGGAAGTAGTCCTCTTTTATTTTTTATTAGTATTGTTGGGTTGGTTCCCTACCTACGTTTTCCCTCCCACCCACCCCTTTGCATGCATTTCCGGGTTGGTACAGTGCCATGTCAGGAACAGTGCCACGTCAGCAATGCCACATCAGCAGTGCCACGTCAGCAGTGCCACGTTAGCAACAGTGCCACGTTAGCAGTGCCACGTTAGCAACAGTGCCACATCAGCAATGCCACGTCAGCAGTGCCATGTCAACAACAGTGCCATGTTAGCAGTGCCACGTCAGCAACAGTGCCACGTCAGCAGTGCCATGTCAGCAGTGCCCCGCCACCATGACGGGCGCAGCTCTGGGCATGCCAGGCCAACTGGCCAACGAGTCTCTTGCCGACTACAAACAGCGGTTCCAGACTCAACTCGCACTGATCGAGGCTGAGGAACAGCGCCAGCTGGCAGCCGAGGCTGTCCGCCTACAAGCTGAAGCAGCGGCAACAACTGAGAAGCAGCGGATTCAGGCCGAGGCTGAAGCAGACACCCAGGCACGCCGCAAGGAAGCCCAGGAACTGCTACAGCGGCATGAAGCCACCAACGTTGAAAGGCTCAAGTATTGGCACTTTGAACCATCCGAGGAGCACGATGACGCGACACCAGAGGAACAGCACAGGGAATTCATGGCCAAACTCGTGACTCGGTTGGTCTACACTTGTAACCACCTGAAGTCCGAGCTGGCGAATATGCAGCGGGCTATGCGGAACCACAAGGCTCAGCAAGAGGATGCAGCACGAGCACTTGATTCCCGTATGGAGCACTTGGAGCAAGTTGCACCAAGACCGGAGGCTGGTGAGTCCAACAGTGCACCCTTTGCCCGCCAACTGGAGCAACGAGTCGACCACGTTGTCGCAATGCTCGGCGACATCAGCACCTTCGCTGCGCCAACCACCATCAGCAAATAGCTGGATACCTTGAAGACCGAGGTTCAACAACTGCAGCTGCCTAACAAGGATGGCAATAGCACAACGCATTATAGGATGCCGACATTCCAAATTGAGAAGTTCGATGACTACACGCATCAAGACCCGGTCCTCTGGTGGGAAGGCTTTACGACGCAACTTCGGATTCTATTCGTCGCCAAGCACGCGTACATCAGCGCCCTGTTTCTCAACTCAAAGGGCGGATGCCAGATCTGGTTAAGCCACCTGGCAACCGTCCACGGCGTCGATGTCGCAGATCTTAAGGATAAGATTTCATGGGAAGAGCTAACACGGTTATGAAAGAAGTGGTTCATCGTGGACGATGCACTCGCCATCAACCGTCTCTTCGGCATGACGCAAGGCAACACAGCAACACGTGACTGGCTCACGGAATGGCAGAAGATCGCGGCAACGCCCGATCTTGACTTACCATTTTCGCATCTGCGCCGCGAGTTCTACAACAGGTCAGGTGCTGCATTGAGCCTTGCACTTGGTGATCGCGAGCAATATGCAACCTTCGCTGAAATCATTGACAAGGCGAGGGAGATCATCAAGACAAACAGGGCGGCTGCACAAGAGAAGTCAACGTGGCAGCCAACCTATGTGGAGAAGGTGAAAACTGGTCTGCGACCGCAACAGTTCGCTGCAGTCCAATCGGACAACATTGTGGAAGACCCGACAACCACCCAAGCGTTACGTGAGGGAGATCAGGTGGCTGCTGTCCAGCCGCGAAGCAACAACCAGTCCCGAGGAAACGGGAAGGCGAAAACCGCATCATCGGCCGGAAACGGACAGCTAGTACCATGGGTCAAGTTTCACTTGACCGAGGCTGAGTACAAGTACCGTGGTCGTTACGGCTGCTGCTATTGGTGCAATAGCACCAAGCACAAGACCTCCCTCTGCCAGGATCGGGGCAAGGAGGATGTTCGGCCTCGTATCAACTCGGGAAACTGAGTTTCGCGGGAGGTGAGGCCACTCCACCTCCCACTCCGCCAGATTCGGCCGCCTTGCTAGCGGCCTCCTACACACCTGGGGAGGATGCGAATGTCGTAAGTCCTCGGTTCACTTACGAGGATTATGTTGTCCACTTGGTCCCACTGTTGGACCAACCGCTCCACGTGCAACAATCTACCGCATGCACGGTTTCATCACCATCGGCAACCGACTCGGCAGCTTCGCCACCATCTACCGTCGGGGATTCAACGTCATGGTCAAGACTTGAAGAGCTCGACCCGTTGACATTTGCGGACTTCCAATGGATGCCCCTTCCCTGGTCTGGTCGATTGCCGAAACCGCATTGCAACGTGCTCATGGCACAATTGCGGGATTACTTGCACACTGCAGTACCAACTCCGTTGATGGACGTCGGAGTAGAGGTTGTCGACCTTCAAGCCTACATTGCGAAGATCGACCGCGAGTTCAAGACACAACGGTACGACGACATCGACGCACCATTGTTATATGTACGCATTCAGATCGGAGAGGCGACCTGCAGCGCTTTGATCGATTGCGGAGCATCTTGCAATTACATGAGCCAGGACTTTATGGTGCGCGCCGGCCTTGGCCCACGCGTCCAGAGGAAGTCCCAGCCGACGCAAGTCACGTTGGCGGACGGTCACACGCACAAGTTAATAGATCGGTGCATTGACGACGTCCTCGTGTACTTTGCCCCGCATGCAAGCGAGGCGGTGTCCTTCGATATTTTGGACACCAAATTCGACATGATCTTGGGCCTGTCATGGCTGCGAAGCGAGGATCACCCGGTGAACTTCTACCGCCGCACCGTTCACGTTCGTGATCGGAACGGAGTACTAGTCCCATGCACGGTAGGTCCTCCTCACCCTTCGATCAACTGCCACGTGGTGTCCGCCACAAGCATGCGAGCTTCCATCATTAGAGACAACATCGAGGAGATGGGGGTGTGTTTTCTCCATGCCCTCCCGCCCCATGACGCTTCATCGATGGATTCATCTTCGGACCCACGCATCACTGAGCTTCTCGACGCCTACGACGACGTGTTCGAAGGCCCGCACGGAGTAGTACCGGATCGGCCCATCTGCCACGAGATCATCCTCGAGGACGGGGCCGTACCTCCGTGCGGTTGCATCTATCGAACGAGCGAGGAGGAGTTAAGTGTGCTACGGGCACAACTCGACGACCTTCTGGAGAAAGGCTGGATTCGGCCTAGCTCATCGCCATACGGTGCTCCTGTTCTCTTCGTCCGGAAGAAGAACAAGGATTTGTGGTTGTGCATCTATTATCGCAAGCTAAACACGCAAACGATCAGAAACGTCGGCCCTCTTCCACGCATCGACGACCTTCTCGAACGGCTGGGCGGCGCCAAGTTCTTCTCCAAGTTGGACCTTAAGTCGGGATATCACCAACTCGAGATTCGGAAGGAGGACCGCTACAAGACCACGTTTAAGATGCGATATGGGCATTTCGAATGGCTGGTTATGCCGTTTGGCCTTACGAATGCCCCGACCACTTTCCAAGCGGCTATGACMACRGAGTTCCGACACATGCTGGATCGATTCGTACTTATCTACCTCGACGACATCCTGGTGTACAGTCGGAGTTTGGACGAGCATGTGGAACACCTGCGCACCGTTTTGGAGCGGCTGCGACAAGCCAAATACAAAGCCAACCGCGGCAAATGCGAATTCGCGCGGCCGGAGATGGAGTACTTGGGACATTATGTGACGCCGCAAGGCCTCCGCGTATGGCCCGAGCCCACCAACACCACGGACGTTCTTTGATTCATGGGGGTGGCGGGCTACTATCAGCAATTCATCACCGGATACTCAAGGATTGTTGCACCTATGATGAGATTACAATCGCCAAAGGTGCCATTCGTATTCGATGACGACGCACGCCGGTCATTCCAAGCACTTACGACGACAATGCTCATGGCACCCGTCCTTAGCATCTATGACCCCACCCTACCTACGAGAGTGACAACTGACGCTTCCGACTATGGTATTGGGGCAGTCTTGGAACAACACGACGGCGACGACTGGCACCTTGTGGAGTCTCCCATCAAGTCGCTTGATGATGCAAGGAAGGAGCTGCTCGCGTTCGTAATGGCTCTCAAGTGATGGCGGCACTTCCTCCTTGGGCATCGTAGGTTCACATGGGTTAYGGACAACAACCCACTGACTTACTACAAGACGCAGGATACGGTGAGCAGCACGATCGGACGATGGATGTACTTCATCGACCAATTTGACTTCACACTGAAACATCTTCCCGGCCTCTCCAATCGCACAGTAGATGCACTCTCGCGAAGACCTGATCTTTGCGCTATGACACATCATGCCTTCGCATTCAACGAGGAACTTCAGCGACACTTCATCCGGGGATATGAGTCGGATCCCTAATTCGCCACGTTGCATGCGCAACTATCTTCGGATCACCCGCCGGCCAGCCACTATCGCATTGCCGACGGGTACTTGCTCCTCCACTCGAGAGGCAAGGACTTATTGTGTGTCCCACGAGACCGTCGTCTTCGAACTCGCCTTCTCGGTGAGTATCATGACTCGCGACTCGCCGGCCATTTCGGAGTCAACCGCACCATTGCACGGCTTCGACAACGATTCCGATGGCCCGATCTCATTACCGATGTCAGTCGGTATTGCGACTGTTGCAAAGTTTGCCGACGAAGCAAGCCCCGCAATCGCAACCCCTACGGCGAGTTGCGCCCGATGCCTATCCCACGGGAACCCGGCCTCTCCATTGCCATGGATGTCACCGGACCATTTCCCTGCGATCGCCTCGGGCACGACGGCATCCTCACGGTTGTGGACCGTTTGAGTAAGTATGCGCGTTTTCTCCCATGCAAGTACTACTCCACGGCTCCTGAGCTGGCACGCCTCTTGCACACTGGTTGGATTTGTGGCCACGGTGTACTGGAAGACATAGGCTGTCGGCATTTTGGACTTCTCTCATGCAGGAGTCCGGCACGAAGATGAAACCAAGTTCGGCTCGACATCCACAGACGGACGGGCAGACGGAGCGGGCACATCAAACCGCTCAAATGATGCTTCGTACGCTCATCCGTCCGGACCAGAAAGATTGGGTTGACCGCCTCCCCGACATCGAGTTCGCCTACAACACTTCGGTGCACCCGGCGATCGGCGTGACTCCATTCGAGTTGCACCACGGTGGACGGAAAGGCCATATCTTCGCCGACCTTCTCCTCCCACGACCAGCCGACATTGACGCCGCTTGCTCTCCCGCTTCCGTCCGGAAGTACAGGGAATGGCTGGCCCAAGCCCGCGCGAACATGCAAAAGGCTCAAGTCCGCGTGCAGCAGCAAGCCAACAGGCGTCGCGTGCCATGTCCCATCCGCGCCAATGATCTGGTTTGGGTCTCCGCGGAAGAGTTTGCACTAGAACAGGATGTTTCATGCAAACTGCTTCCCAAGTGGTTTGGACCATGGCCCGTAATATCAGCCGCGGGTGATGAGCCCGATGGCCCTTCATTTGTGATCAACATCCCGACACATCTGACGGTCCATCCAATCTTTCACGCCTCGAAGCTGGCAACATATACACCAGCTAAGAGCGACGACTTTCCGGGTCGACGATCGCAGGACCCTCCATCTATGGATGGTCATCAGGAGGTTAACCGCGTCATCACGGATCGCAAGTATGGCAGCAAGCCTTGCCAGTACAAGGTTACATTCAGAGCATGCGATCCCGACGGCACTCGGTGGATTTCAGGAACAGATTTGAAAGCATCCGCACCGCTGATCTACGCTCACTATGAGCGACAAAGGATAGCTCAGAGAACTTCACGACCTGCCCCTCCCACCGGGACTGTGGTCCCTCCCTCAGACAGACAGCTTCGCCCTCGCAGGTAAGCTCGGTCTTTCAAGGAGGAGGGGGGGGTGGCATACTGCGTAGCCACACGGGCCTGCAGGGCCCGTCCCGCATTCTCAGCCTTAAAGCCTAGAAATAAGGGCTTACAGGCCCCTGTTGTTTCAGCCTGAAAGACTGAAAAACGAGGGCCTGCAGGCCCTATGTCGTTTCAGCCTAAAACAGGGCTTTTCAGCCCTGAGGCTTTTCAGCCTGAANCAGCCTGAAAGACTGAAAAACGAGGGCCTGCAGGCCCTATGTCGTTTCAGCCTAAAACAGGGCTTTTCAGCCCTGAGGCTTTTCAGCCTGAAACGTAGGGCCACTTTCGGGCCCTCATAAGATCGACCTACCCTAACACTCAGGCACAAAACCAGGGTTTCGGGAACAGGCTATCCTTAGCCTGTTCCCACGACAGCCTCAAGCAGGAGCTGCAGCGGCAGCCCCTGACTCCCTGCGGCATTGGCAAGAGCAGCCTCCTGGACTGCCTCGGCCTGCAGTCAGGAGGCAGGCCTTGTAGTACATAGGGAGTCTTATGCACTTCACGGGTAGGTAGTTGGCCAGTAGGCAGGAGTAGTCTTCAGGATTTGGCCGCAGCACTCAGGAGGAGCACTGCCAGGAGTAGCTTAGCGCTAGCAATAGTCTTCAGCGCTGGGTGGTAGTAGCCATAGCAGTAGTCTTCAGCACTGGGCGCTAGTAGTTGGTAGTAGTAGTGTGGGAGAGAGATGGCTGGCGGAGGCCAGCGAGACTTACCTGTGGCGCCATATCTCCAGCTCCATCTTCGAGGTACCTGCATCAAGGCGCCAACTTCACAGGTTAGTAC